TAGTCTTAAATTCTCGCGATATTTCGTTCTTAGTTACCTATCCGTCCTGGATACTCTAGTTTCACCGTTGAGAAACATCAACATAGTAACCCGGGAAAGGCAACCGCAAGGGCGGGTGGACACATTTAATCGAAAGAATCCTTCAGTTACACGGATTTGACGTTATCGGAATAAACGGTGGAACAATGGGCATATTTCGCGGGAAAAGTTTATAGTTAAGTTGGTCAAGCCCCTGGCTAACATTTAACTGCTAACATTAGCTTGCTAATGCTAACGTTAGCAAATAGATAGCTTAACGCAACTGAAGGAGAAGTCTAGAGAAGTTGGGATTTTTCTATCATGAGGACATTAGCGTGAATGTGGACATCTAGACACGTCGGATCGTTTCCCTAAAGGTATTTGTTAACCCCTTTTTAAGTAACTAATACGCTGATTACACGAATTTCTAGCCAGTTAGCGTTAGTATCAACTTAGGAGTTGGTGTCACAGACTATTTCCTGGAACGAAGAGATTTCGACATAAGTTACGCCGGAGTCAGCTGTTCACAATAGTTGCTGATCTTTGTAATTAGCACGGATTGCGTTAGAAAACTCGATATAGATATAGCAACGTTTGGTTTCGTTTAGCAGTTATTCATAAAGAGACAACAGTGCTCGAACTGTTTACTGTTGATATTTGCTGATAGACTATGTTGTTTCCTTGCAAGAGTGAGTAAATCCTGGACCCGGCGTTTTTCCTCAATGCCGGTGTTTTATATCCTTATTCATGTGATTTACTAAAAATGAACTGATTTAGTGTTTGAGAAAACGGTGAAGTTCAGATGCCAGTTTTATAAGAAATACCGTTGAACAAATCGGTGAACTAAGTCACAGAATGGAAACGGAACTTGGGGATATAGCATTGTTTTCTTGGGAAGTTTACAGTCCTAGAACACAACAATGATTAGTTTAGAGAGGTTTGCATTCATATGATTACAGAGGATAAAAAGTCAGAAATTGGACATTATTTTGTCCTCACTGGCTGTTGGATTGTTTTTGGCACAGCAGAAACAGTTTTGGTTTAAACCATGTTGCTAAAATGTTTTCCTCTGCTGTTGGTCTTTGTCCATCAAGGAAGACTTTATGCACCATTTTGGGTTTTATAGTTATTAGTAATATATTAGTTTGAGAGCTGCCAGCACTTCCTGAGGAAATTTGTGTGATTAGTTGGCACCCTAGTAAAATGGCATCCTCCTATTATTATGTATAACCTGACAGGTTTGTTTCCACTTTGATGCGTTTTTAGTTTTGATATTAATTTCTCTGCTTTACACCTTTGTTTTGATTGTTCCAGATTTTTAGACTCACGTGCAGAGCATGTCGGTATTAGCCGATGACCACATATGACAATGGTTTTGTCTTATCTGACAGTTAGCTGGTGTCTTAGAGAACAGAGGTTTTTTTGGGGGGGGGGTTTCTTAAAAGAGTGTTATACTTTTTCTGTTTTTTTTTATATTACAAGTCCTTCTATAACTATAATTTACAGAAGCTATGTAAGCACACCATTGGTCAGAGTTTATCTCTTCTACTAGACATGTTTGATTTTCTTCTGTTTGGAATCGCGTCATTTGAAAAGACTGTGGGTGGCGTTAAGCTGTTTTATTTTCAGTTCATTGTGTCTCTGCTCAAACAAAGCGTGTGCAGTGAGATTAATCAGTGTGTTGTCACATGGATATGGTAAAAGCTCTTCAAGGGGGAAAACTGGACTTTCATTTTTTTTGCTTTCAACCCCATGACTGCTGTTTGATTGTGAATAAAAGGCTTGCCCCCTGGAAAAAAAGACTTCCCATCATTCAGGCTATTTAAATGTGAACACAATCTCTCTTAGAAATTTAGATGAACATGGTTAAAGGCCTTTTTCTCGAATTGATTACACTTTCATCATTTCTTCTAAAGCTGATCTTGATGGGAACAGTTGGGTAAGACATGTGATTCAGGGGACTACTGGAGTTTAAAGTAAAGATAACTTTGCTGATGCTGACAGATGCCTCACAGAGGAATGTGTTTCAGTAGAACCAGTTTTAAATGGCATGTTAGTTACATCTCATCTCATCATGTACACTTAGATTGCCTAAGATGTAAAACACGGAAAGAAGCTCAAGCTTTTCCAAACTGTTTCCCCACACATTGCCTCGTCTAAGAAAGCTTGCTGTATTACTGTCCCCTGTATTTCATCCACTGTTTTACTTTTGAGATTTCGTGTTCTCTAAAGTTATGTAGAAAGTGTACATTGCATTATTTTGTCTTATTCATAGAATGACTGATTTTCCATGTAATTGTTCTGCTGTGGTCTGCAGGTGAACGGGAGAGATGAGGAGCAGTAGGAGGACTGAAGCTTCTGTAAAACATCCCTCTGAACTGCTTACTGATCACAGTGTTGGCACCGGTGAGTTTTAAAGAAAAACTGCTGCTAAGTCTTTAGTGTTATTTCGAAAATACATCTTTATTCATTTCAATGATTCCCCCTCTCCATTTTTTGTCAGAACTGACGAGTGCATGGAAAAGTTTATCCCAGTCCAAAGCTGCTGTAAGTACACACACCTTTTTAAAAAAACATCTCTGAGGATGTTTTATTTGACAAAGGCGGTAACTAACAATGTGTAATATCTGCGTGTATGTTTTTTTCTGATGGTGGTATTCTGTCTGTGTAGCTGCGGCATATAGAAAACCGTACAGAAGCTACTCCGGGAACAGGAGTTCTTTTGGATTCCATCATCGACCCCCACAAGAAGAAATCCACCAAGACTGTACAACACAGGGGTGAGTTAAACCAAAACGAAGTTGAATTCTTTTTAAATCATATGATAGATTGACTTGTTTCTTTTTTTTGGGTCATGATTGCATATTAGCATCTTCATTTGTGCCAGACTGCGGTTGCTTTGGTGACGTACATTTGACACCTTTCTGTCAGATAACATTTCTTTCACTATGGCAGAAGGGCGGAAAGTCGATGACCCTCAAGGGCCTTCCAAAGCCAGGGGAGGAAGCCAGCAGAGTCCAGCAAAGAGCAGCTCACGCAGCCCACTGAGAAATACCACCCAGGACAGCAATGTCAGGAAGAACGGCAGCGTGGAGTTCAGGGAGCCGCTGGCCTCGTACAGGTAACCACAAAGCATTTCTGAAGCTCTGTCTGCCACATCTCTCTCACTACATCACTGGATTTGGGTCAAAGCTCAACCTATTGGAAAGCCATTAGCTGACCCCTCCCCCACCCCATCCACACTTACTTTAAAGCAGCCCTCAGCAGAGCATCAGTTATTGTTCGTCTGATGAGTTGATAATGCAAGATTACAGAAAACGCAGAATTTAAGGATAAAAACTTACTTCTGAGGTTGTAAATATGCATTATTTCAGCCAGAATTGATGATGCTGATGGTGGTCAGGAAATTGAATTTAAGCCAATGTATAAAAGAAAAGTTAGACTGGCAGCTTGATGAAATAAAAAGCGGTTGGATGTTGTATTAGCAGCTTTACATGGTCCGAAAACTCATAAACATACGGTGTTGTCAGTGGGTCATTAAGTTGATAATGCTGCAAACAAGAACAGCTAAAAAAAAAAACTTTTGATTCAGTGAAATTTATGTGTAGCATCCATATTTAATATGGTCACTTTTTGAGTTAAAGTATTTAGTCTGTTGGAACATTAGGATGAGACTGTACTGGTATTTCTGATGATTGCTCACAGTGAATCTGTTGCTTGGAATATTTTGGCCAGGCACTGAACATGATAGTCCAGTTAAAACCTATATTCAGCTGGAACTGGAAACAATGCATCCCTTTTAAGAATGTTTGACTTTCTGAAGCCTTTAGGCGAAACAGTCATATGCATCTGTGGTAGATAGGTAGAAGTGAAGGCTAACCGATCTGAATTTGCTTTAATGGCAATTAAACTGCGTAACTGGTTTATCAAGGAGAGTATAGTGTTGAGTGCTGAAAAAATACTGAATCAGTTGTTTGATATTTTGAGGTCTTTTCATGTGGTTTTATTCTCTTCTAGAAACATGTTTAATATTATTCGTCCGTCTTTTTGGTTGCCATGCCCATTGTACAGCATATGTTCCCTTAATGCCACCTGTAGATAAAACTTTAAAATCTTTATTTCAGGATTATCATATTTTCCATAATATGCACAACAATAGATAGAAATGGAGATATTCTTTTAGTAGCCTGAGACCACTCTGTTGTGTGTTCCTCTGGGAGTTCACTAAGCAGTAAACTAAGAGTAAATCTTGATCATCTTCTTGATCCCATGTAATCTGGTTTGTGTTCAGAGAGGCCACCCCTCCACCACATCGCAGCTCTCAGCTGGAAGCCTACAATCTGCAATCTGTGCCAGGGTCTTCATGCCCATCCTCTTCGCCTCAGTCAGAGGTTCTGCTCAGCCGCGTGGTCTATGAGAGGGACAACAGGGACAAACAGACAGACCGGGATCTGGACAGCACGCAGTCCTCTGCTGTGGGCAGCACAGAGGTGCGCTACCTCAATGACCAGCCAGCCTTGGATGTCTTAAAGACTGAGGATAAAACCCTGAAAGCACAACTTGGTATGGATAGCCAAGAGTCATGTCCACATGTAGCTCCCACCCCGGGCTCCTCGCACCAACGGGACAGTACCCCCTCCAGCAGCCCTGGCTCAGCCTCCCAGCGGTTAGAGAACCTAAGGCGCCATCAACCGGACAATAAATTGGAGAAGCTTAAAGAGCGCATTCGAAGGCAGAGACAACATTTGGAGGAGTCTGCAGAGAGAGATAAGCTTCAGGGTCACCAGGAACAACCCATAGTGGCATCTGCTGAGAGCAGAAATGTTGCTTCCAGCAGCATGCCATCGGCAAAAATCCGCAAAGTAACGGCTGCACCCCCTGCCCGCATGTACAAAGGTATTCAGATTCACTTTTAGTTTCTACACTTTCATTTTTTAGGTATGTATTGATGTATTTAGAATACCTACAAAGACAGCCTGATGCTGAGATTTGGAATTCATTGTTGCAAAAGGGATGCTACAGACATCTCACACATCTGCCCTTCTGTCCACAGGTTTCAGTAGTACCGAGATAAAAATCCGAACTCCTGATGGGAAAGTTTGGAAGGAGGAGGACTTCCATAACTTTAGTAGGGAAATCTACAAAGACCTGTCACGCCAGTTTGCGGGTAAAAAAAAAAACAAAAAAATAAACATTTTCTTTACATTTGTTGGATTTTTTGTGACTTGAGCAAACTCGCTGCATATTTGCCCCTCTGTGTGTAGAGAGTTCCAGATCCAAGCATCACGAGCAGAGAGAACTGAGAGGAGAGAGGGCCAAAGAAAAGAGGCCATCCAAACCAGTCAGGAAGGTCCACCGAGCTGCCCCTGTCTCTGACCCAAATTCAAAACCAGGTATGATAATCCTCTTTAATGTGTTAGTGCCAGCCCACCCTTTGATTTATTTTTGATGACATAGTGGCAGAGAGCTGTGATGGATAAGAGCACATTTCGCTCAAACAAAAAAAAACACTTTTCATATTCTTATCTCATCTTTTTTCCCGGTTAAATACTTTGTTACTTGACCCCCCGTGTGCATGCTTCCCTTTAATGTCAGTTACTTGGTTGCTGTCACATCTCTGTCATTTGACTAATGTTTTTCAGTTTGTCTATCTCATACAGAGCTAACTGTGTTTGCATGCAATCTAATGATCAGATAATCCAAACACAAATTATTTCATTTGAATGCCGATGAGTTCATACTATATATTGGCCATTTTACTCTTCAGATTACACTGCGTAGTCCACTTTCAACCTTGTCTGAGTTGCCCCATATCAGCCTTGCGTGCACTTGAGCACATAAGCCAGAGATGTTGCCCTCTGCTGCTGCGGTGTTAAGATGCTAATCCCCAAAGAAATGTCCAGCATGTGTGACATGCAGTCTGTGACTCAGCAGTAACATGCAGACACCCAGACAGGAGAACTGTAGCCTTTCTCTCCTCAGACCATGCCACAGTGCCATTTAGGTCATTTAGAAAATTCCCCATTTGTCGCAACAACAGGAATTCGAAACTTAAAAAAAAAAAAGAATGTTTTTTTTCTTTTCTTTTGAAACTGCAACTCTTTTTTTCTAAATACTTTCTCTGTTGACCAGACAAAAATACCAGAGAATGGAATGGTATTAGTAAAGCTTAAGCTGGTATATTCTGATAGCTGACTGTTTGCCGTGTCTCTCCTGTTCCCGCCATAATTCCATGTGTCCCGTGACTTCTTGTCGTACTTCAAATTTGTGTGTTGTCTCGCAAGTGTGGCTGGGTTCCGTTTCATCTTGGCACAGTACTATAAATACCACTCTGAAATCTGTGGGCAGGTTGACTTGGCTCAGCATCAACAGCTGCTTGGTTTGTTGATGTGCAACTTGAATACCAGGAACTGCTCTTCCCTTGAATTTACTCAGAAAGAACCCTGCTCTGCAGATGGTTTCACAATAATAGACATTACGTTTGTGTTGAAAAATATGCCAAAACACTCCTCTGAATAATAATAAAGACAAAGGGAAACAGATACCTTTAAAAGCTTGATTAGACTGAAAATACTGGTACTGCTGCTGTTTTGCTGTGTCATTCCATTACCAGCTCTCTAAGTGACTTTTAGAGTCATCTTTTAACACCTTTCTCAGCTGAACATTTAATTTACATGAGTTAAGTTTGTGATAAATCCTGATGCAGGCAATTATTCTTTTCAGTGTCAGCGTTTTAAGTTCAACTTTGTTCCTTTTGCAGCAATTAGCCCAGCATCATGGCGGGAGGGCCAGAAGCTGGTCAAGATGGTCCTGGGTCCAGCTCAGAAGCCCCGCAGGGAGGAGCAGAGTTCCTGTTCAAACGACAGACGGAGTCAGACAGGTGGGAGTCAGGAGTCCGAACACTTAGCCGTCCACACACCGTTACAACATGTTCTGTCACCAGACACCGCAATAAATGGGTAGAAGGAAGAGATGATTTCATCAGAGGAGGGATTACAGTAGAATCCAGTCGATTTTCAATCATACAGATAGGGTAAGCTCGATGTGGAAAAGATCTTCTTTGCATGATTCCACATTCATGGCATTATTTCCCATAAAGCTTTTACGTTGCGTTGATGGTCTTGTTAAAGCAATCAGAATCTTTCTATCACTTTTTATCTTGTATTTCCAGCAGTTCCTGGGCTCTTTTATAGATATTTTTCAGTTCCACAGAATAAGTAATAAATTATGTTTATTATGCAGATTTTAGTTGCATTATTTATATTTAGATAAACTTCCGATAAACGATTACAAGTTAGGGTCCACAGCATTCTCTGAATGACGTGCTGCTGCTTTACAGTGCATGTCCTAGGCTCCAGCAGTGTTGGTGCAAACAGAGTTCAAAAAGTCGATAAGAAAACCTGCGTTTCCTCTTTGTACTGATGTAAACCTTTCAGTATTGTAGGGAAAAGCGACGTGAGACGTGTTGATTGAAATGTGCGAGGTAATTCTGGATATAAACTTTCTTAAATGAATTCATATGCATCATTTTAGGTAATATCTATATTTACAAAAAAAGCAGTCGGAGGAATATTAAGGTGTATTGTTAATTAACAATCTGTTCTTGTCACAGATTTCTGTTCTCGTGTTTCAAACTAGGAAAATGTATTGTTTTGGACAACGCACCCATGTTATTATGACCAAGATACAGACCTAGGATCTTTTTTCTGAGATTTTTTTTAAAGTTTGGCTTGGGCTTGCGTAGGGGTCGCTCTGTGATACGATGTGGTTTTCTCAGGTAGTGCAATGAATTTAAAAAAGATTTTGCTTGATATTTCCTCTTATCTGTATAAATATTAACGATATGGATGACTGCAAGGAATAGAGAATGACTGGCTTTTCTGGTTGGATGCACAGAGACTGCCCAAAGCGCACAGAGCATATACCATGGGAAGTGGTTAGGACAGGCCAGGAAAGATGATGAGTCTCTCTACTGACATGTTCTCACAAATGATCTGGATTAGATGCTACATGGGACTCTTTGTCTTGGCCCAGATTTGAGATGTGATGGCAAACCCTATCCCCCCATCTTGGTCATTCTGATTATTCTGAGTGTACATCAACATTTAATTTCCCCCCGGGATACATAGAGTATTTTTTTTTATTTAATTTAGCGTTGAATATTTGTTATAATTGTATTTCTAATGTAGTCTCTTGTTAAATAATTCTTTAAGTTTTTTGCCGCTGTTGAAAACAATAATTGAATTTTTAAATAATATTCATTTTTATACATAAAAAAATGGTATGTTTATGATATCAAATGAAAACCTGATAAATAAACCCCCATGTAGGCGTAAGTGCTTCACAGCTAGAGGATTCATGGTCTGATGTGGGCTGTTTATTAGTCTGACATTATTTTTTATGTCATAATGACCTTGTTGTGAGTAAACTTAGAAAGACTTGGCGTTGCCCTTTTCTGTCTAACAACCTGCAGTGACTGCGTGGGAAAGGTGTCCTTGGCTGAAACAGCATGAATGTCGCTTTTTAGCTCTTGGAAAGAAAGTGATGTTGTTTTAAGTCAGTCTAAGTATGTCTGTATGAAGCCACACAGAAAATTAAAAGTTACCATTGTTGAATCAGATAAACGCTGATGCTTTTATCAAACTGACAAGTCATAAGTGTCACAACTAGCGTGTCAAAAAAATGGCTTATACTTTTTCATTATTTGTGTCTGTAGCTCTAACACCTTTCTTTTTTTTAAACATTCCCCAGCTGCCCGTCATCCACATTCAGAAGCAGACAGACGGTCTCTCCCAAACGGCACAGAGAAGATGCACAGTGGATTTCAGGGGAGAACCACAAGCCAGCCTGCGACTCCCTACAAGCCCTCGTCTGCCGCCCAGGATACGACCCCGCTGGGAGTAAACACAGATCTTCTGTCAGCAGACATCCAAGGGATCCTCGAAGACCTACAGCTGGATCTCAAGCCAGCTGAGAAGGAGGAGAGAGCTCGTAAAAGGTCCCGTGGTGGCAGCGGTGGTAGGAAAGGGCGGGGGGGCTCGGGTTCTCGAACAAGGGCCTCAGTTTCAGCGTGGGGAACTACGGTGGCAGCAGGCGGTGTCTCGAGAGGCTGTCGCAGTGCCAGCCCCACAACACGGCGCTCAGAAAGCAGCCACCCGGCTGACAGAGGGCAGAAGAAACGGCACTATGATGCCGACACCGTTCGCCAGTACATCGCACGACAACAAGAGGAGAGAAAGAGGCGGCAGGCCGAGGAGAAAAGGGCGATGAGGGAGGAGGCCGAGAGGAGAAGTCAGAGACTGCAGGAGCTCTACAGGAAGCAGAGAGAAGTTGCTAAAACCGTGATCCCTGGCTTAGAGGCCACGGTGGCACCTGTCCAGAAGCGACTGCAGGAAACCTACAACAAACTGCTCCTGGATGAGGTCTATCTGGAGGAGGAGACCTCACAGACACACGTTGCTCCCTCCATCCAAATGGTAATGGGCCATTCCATGAATATCGTCATATATTAATACTCATTTCATTCTGCAAAATGTTTTACCATATAGTGAGGAGTCCTTTTTAGTGAGCAAGAAACTTAAAATTCCAGTTTAAGTTTATCAAGTGTTCTTTCACAGAGACCAATGTACCAGCCATCAGGAGAATCGGACAAAGAGAACAAGAGACAGGAGACTCCACAAAGCCCCTCCAGCAGTGATAAATCTCTGAACGATCAGCCACCGCCTCCATTATCCAGGTACTCCCATGCTCACACTGTAAAGCAAATGTGAATTGTAGAATCACAATCTCTCTACAGTTAAGTTCATCAAAAAGTCAAGAGACCCATTTATCTGGTCCTCTCCCAGAGATGTTTGGGTGATGGTGTGTAGTAAATAGATATAAAGGTCCTTGATGTTTTAAAAGGAAATGTTCTATTGTTTTGTGTGCTCACCAGCAGACATTAGGAGCATTCTAAAATGTTTAGTTTGATCATTGTTTAACATTTACTATTTACATTTCTTCCCGTGTTAAGTTTAAACTAAATCATTCATTGTTTGACATCTTCTTGCAGGGATGATCTGGATATCAGAGAAATCTCACTGCTTCGTCCGGCTGTTCAACCTCCCACAGGTCCAAGCACCAGCACTGTCCAAGCTCCCTCCAATGAGTATCTATTTTCTCAGCTTTTAAGGCTCGACGCAGCCGTGGCGGCGGGTAAAATGAAGTACGGTGTCCAGCCAGCCACCTCTCCCTCACACAGGCCACTGTCGAAAATATCCCGCATTGAGGCCCTCAAGGCCAAAGCAACATCTCTGTCCAACCGCATTGAGAGTGAAGCTCGGAAGCTAGCTGGACAGGGCATGAACTATGGCGACGCCACATCAATGGATGCTGATGCCATTATGGCTCCCAGAACGTCTGCTCTTGATGTGTCTGTTCATGCTACCGAAAATGGCGACATGCCTCTCAGGGTCCAGGGCTTTTTCTCACACCCAGATCAGAATTCATACGGTGGAATAGCTTTTCCTGGAGCAGGCGCCTTCCATGACTTTAGAGGAAAGAGAGAAACGACGCACACCACTTTCACCCAGTCGCATATGGTGTCCAGTGACGTTAAAGGGCCGGCGCATGAAAAGAAGAGGCTATTCTCTGGCCTGGACACGGAAGAGAACGCAGATAAAGTAGCACTTAAGACAAAAGATTGCACCTTAGAGAATAATGCAGATCCCCTAGACTCAAGTGCTGGTTCCATCAGCGAGGGTCCTCTTCTAAGTGAAGGGAGCTTTTCTGAGGAGGGGGCGAGCCCTCCACACCCCTCCCACAGTCACGTGCCTGTACCGGATCGGCTCCAGGCAACAGAGTGCAGCGCGAGTCTTCAGCGGCTGATGGAGTTCCAGAAGGAGGCCGCCAGGTACTCAGCCCTCAGCCCTCCCTTTTTACCACCTGGCAGCAGCAAAGCACCCTGGGAAGAGCTGAACGAAGGAAGCCCCCTCAGTGTAATCAACATTTTCACCAAAAATCGCCATGGTAATGTTAAAGGTACGCTCACAAATGTGCACCTGTCCATTAAGAACAATATGTCCTTTTTTAGAATAAAACTGAGGGAGCACTCAACAGACAAAGGGCTTTGTTTCATTAGTTAATTTGTTCAAAAGTTGATACAAGTTTAGTATTTGCAACAACACAACTTGAAGGTATCGTATGATGTATTTATTGAGTTTATGGGAAAGCTGTGATGGAAATATGATAGCTACTCAGAAAGCTTCACATGTTTAAACTGCAACAGTGTGGCACACACTTAAAAGTTTAGATTTTTCTCATGCAAACATTTGTATTCATCTCATTTTCAGTGGGTGGAGTGAGTGAGAGGAACTCTCCCCCGGCTCATTCCCTGTATTCCGAAAATGGCCCTAAAGGCGCAGAAGTCTATGAAGAAGACTTTGTCTCGTCACATAGCAGCAGAGCCAGCGATAACTTAAAGAGAAGGTCCAATTCACCCAGGTAAGAAAGAAAAAAAGAATCGATATCTACAGAATGACCACTGGGTGGCGTTCATGTCACACAAATAAATCTGTTTATGCAGCACTTCATAAAAAAGAAATTCAGTTTTTAGCCTGAAGACAAATCAGTGAGCATTACTAAGTAGGGTCAGTTTTCTGTTAGATCAAGGTTGCTTAAACATATTTTAAAAGTGATCACATTAGATTATTTAACCATAACAAGCAAAAACTTCTATTTTATAATATCATCACTATCATTGCTAACAGTCTCAGTTTGAGGTAGATGGGAGTTTTATGAGTCATATATTTGTTGTTACAAAGGACTATATCATGCTGATTTTTTTGTTGTTTTGTGGTTGTCAGCGTAAACGGTCACTTCGAAGAGCTGCTGAGAAGATCTCCTTTGGAAAAAAGTACAAGAGGCATCAATTCGCACTATTCATCTTTTCACTCCCCCAGTCCCTCTCAGCATCGCTCCTCTGGTTCACCGTCTGGCTCCTCACCTCTCTCCAGGCACTCAGCCAGAAAAAGGGGTGAGAAGAACTCATTTAGTGTTGTGCTGTTCTGGTGTGAGAGAGCTGTGAATCAGCATTATTGAAAAGAACATGTTTAAGAACCGTCCGTATGGTGTATTTTTGGAGTTTCAAATCCCAGTGCTGCTCAGTTTAACCCTTCCATGTTTCTGCAGGTACAGCATCAGACCAAAGTGATGCCACTCTAGTGGAGGAGCAGAGGAGCTCTTGCTCGCCTCTTTCAGAAGCCCTATCCTCTGACTCCAGAAAGAGAGGCTCAGACAAAAACTCTGCCCACACTCACACCAAAATCCTCCCGTCTAATGATGCCGTAGGAGACGGTTCAGGGCGTTCTCCTCACAGGTAAAAGCTCTGGGTGGGCTGTCACTGTCGAGACCCTTTAAAAGTCTAAACATTTTAATACCAAAGGAGTTGTCGATTATTTGCCGACTGAAAATTATGGGAAAAATTTGTGAAATGTGGATGAATATCATTTCTAAAAGGTTAGCTGACTGGTAATTCCTTCAGTGTAGTACTACTTTCTTGTCAAAGAATTTTATTCTCTTGTATTATAGAAATATTCCCACATATTTATATTTCTGTGTTTTTCTGAGTAGAAAGATATATATGCTTTACAGTAACATCAAGTAAACTGATCTTACTTCTTCTTCTTACCTTACATTTTTTCCTGTTTTCACTGAAAAAATAATTGGAATTTTTTAATTAAGGGTCAGTCATCCTATTTCCAGCCACTCAGAAACATCCTCTTGGTGGATGTTATTTACTCCCCATAAGTAAATGTATCTTGGCATGACTAATAGCTAAACTACACAAGGGGCCTCAGTTGAGGCCGCCAGCCTAAACAGACTCGTGGCTTTCTGTTCTGTTGTCGGCCTGAGTGTTTGAGCAGCTGTGTAGACAGTGCCAAGAAACCCATACAAGCTGCAGTTAGACCTAAGTGGAGAGAACACTGGCTATTTTGTTTTAGAGGCCCACCGGGTGGTTTTCGGGTCAGTTAGCTTTACCACAGCTCGAGATTTCTGCCAGGGCATAAGAGAACGTGTTTTTTTCTTTTAGTCCCAATAAGAAGCAGTGACACTTGAGCCCTGTAATGGTAGTCTGAAGCCCAGGTGGTAGATTCTTTGAATTCTGTGGAGTCTGTGTGTCCTTCACAGTAGAAGCATTCCATTAAGACAGAAACCTTTCCTTCTCTTTCACTCTGTCTTATCACAGTTAGACAGTTAAACATTTAAAAAAACAGTTAAAAATGATTCCTTTTTTTTAGTGTTTGTATCAGTCATTAATTATTGTTGGTGTCTGTAATAACTGTTTTACACTTTGATATTATTATTTGTGTCGGTTACTGAGTCAGATCATCAACATTATTATGTTACAAGAGAGAAAAATGTCCCACCATTCCTTGTTCTTCATGGAATAAAGGAGCACATTGTGATCTCCCCACACGCCATTCTTGTTTTTTCAAGAATCTTCGAAGAGCACAGAATAGCCATTCATAATCTAGCCCCTCCCTCACAGCAGGGCTGTGCTCAGCGACCTCCAAGGACCAAAGGCCTCATCTCAGGCCTCTGAGAGCAAAACAAATCTGTAGAACATACTGTAGTCTCATTTTTAAGAAACAAGTGTAAAGCACTGCTTTGCAGAACAATTACTTTTCCCAGTTTGTGTTTCATGTTAACAAACCAAGCACATTCTAACATGTATCCAAAAATACTGTGTTTACATCTATGAACCTGTTAGTTATATACTTAAATGCTGTTTTTAAAGTTTAAATCACTTGTAAACTGACATTTAAATGTATTTATTTGTGTGTTAATGCAGACCCAGGCTGGCTTCTCCTTCTGGCTCTCCAGGGTCACTTTCTCCTCAAGATGCATTCTCCTCCAGTGATCTTGGAAGGAATGGCTCTCAGAGCGCAAATCACATGAACAAAGGGACCTCTGCACAAGCCGGTACAGCTTAGGTGTACTTATGGTTTGTCTCCCGCCGCATATGATTAGCATCCTTTTTACTAATAGCCTTGTTGTCTCTGTTGCCTTCTCTTTCTTCTAGGAGAGCTCCAGTATTCGCCTGCTGTCCTGCAGCAGCGCATGGCCGTAGAGCTGCATTATTTGGAGTCCATTGAGGAGTCGATCAAGCAGCTCGGGGATGTGGAGAGGCTGATGGATGTGTCCATGGCGCAGCAGGAGAGTGCCTCGTTGGCCCAAATGCTCGAGGTAATGGGCAAAAATGATCTGAGGCCATGATGCGTCCCTAATTGTCTGTAATTCTAAGATGCTGACATGTTACGAATGTAATTCGTGTTCATTTAAAAACATATTTTTAAGCCTTTTAGCCTATCAAATATAATGAACCTATCCAATACTAATCCACTTTCTTTAATGACTACTTTAATGACACTGTGTTGCTTTAAAAAAACTGAACTTTCTTGTAACCCCTCAGGCCAAGCAGCACCGGCATGAACGTGAACTCTACGAGTTGAAGATCAAGGCTGAAAGAGAAGCTCTTGAGACAAAGCTGCAACTGGAAGAAAACAGACAACGAGTGGCCAGGGTATTACTCAGATGATACATTGATGCTCTGTTCTTCGTACATTTCCATTTACTCACTTTTTATATGCAAAGGTGGGGATGTTAATATTGCATAGTGTATAATGTGTATGTATGATTTTTACCCAGGCTCACATAGAACTACAGGAAAGCTTGGCAGCATCTCAAAAAGAGGCTTTGGAAGGCCTCCAGGAATCAACTACTAAGATGATGAGCCAACAGGCTGAGGCAGCACGGCACACAGCGGATGCTGCCCGACACATTAAGGAGGTTAGCAATAACTTCCTGCCGTTCTGCTTGGAAAACAGCTGGTGTCTTAATTGTATTGCTAAAGCTGATTGATTGTTGAGTTACAGTAAAGAAATAACGCTCACTGCAGTGAGAACATCCCTTAGAAGATTCACCAAATCAAACATTTGATCTGTGCATTAGATGGCAGAGCTGGCACGCTCCCAGATTGCGGGATCCTTGACTCTCCCTCCTGTTGCCACGGATTCTGCCATGTTGGACTACCTGGAAGAACATGGGGAAGATGGAATTGGCTCTATAGAAGTGGAGGATAAACCACACTCTGACAGGTCGAATATAAACACCTTTTTTTAGTGTTAGCACAACACTCTTCTTAACTGAATTAGTGGTGATATTGTGTTGCCTTTATTTGGATGCAAGTTAGAATAATTTTAAACTAGACAAATATGAGATATGAGATATTATGCATTCCTAAACATTGTGTCTGTTCCTTTACAACTCTCACAGTGAAATGTCAAGCAGAAGAACCAGATCAGAAGAACCACTGTCTTCACTGAACAGTCTCAGTCATTCTGATTCAGCATCCTTCAAAAAACCAAGCCTCAGGTACCACACAGCTTTTGGGGAGTGGATAGCAAAAAAATAAAGTGAAATCGAGACAGAAAGACTGAATTTAGTCTATTTATTGTTTGGCAGTGGACCTACTTCAAGTGGCAGCCTCCACAGTTCATCCCTCGTCACGTCAGGGCACAGAGAAAGGACGAAAAAAGAAGCAGAAGAGGGGAAACCGAGGACCAGGAGAACTGACGACAGGGAAGCAGCCCAGAGTTCCATTGAGGAGGACATTCCTCAGGCAGCAAATTATTCCCTCTGCAGTGAAAGCATCCCCTCTGTAGTGGATGATAAAGGTACCAAAGTATTCCCATTGTATATTTCAGGAGTCAAATTGGTGTATTTTTACCAGATTGAGGAAATCTTTTATTAGAACAGATATTTTTGTGCCGCACTACCCCATGCATGTAAAGTTAAGCTGAAATTGTCTGTGATCCTTCAGGAGAGACTACATCAGTGGCCACGGAGTATTCGTTTAAGTTTGATGAGTCCATGACAGAAGATGAGATAGAGGAACGCTCTTTCCGTTCTCTGCTCCCTTCTGAGGCGCATCGCCGTGGAACTATGGAGATGAAATCCCGCAACCACGAGGAATCAGAGGATGATGGAGCCAACCACAATTTAACGGTGCTTTCAGGGACAGAGACACACAATACTTTTAAGGTAAGAGTCATACAAACAATATCTGATACATCAATGGCTGGAACAATATAATTTTTTATTTGTTGTTATTTTTTTATACTTATATGCTTTTTAAATATATTTCTTGTTATTTTCTCTGCGATTACTTTACTCTGACTACCCAATTTTGTGTGTGTACATATATATACATATATAGTATGATAGATTTATTTATTCTTTACCATTCTGAACTTATGCTTTGAATATGCTCTTCAGTTCTTGTCTGACCTTAACCTTTTCTCCACTGTGCACCCACAGTCTCACGACACACACATAGCCTTTTCAAGCGGTCAGGACAGCTTTTCCCAGTTCACTATGGACATGGTGCGTCAGTACATGAAGGACGAGGAGGTAAGGCTGCAGCACCAGAGCTCTCTGCTCCATCTCCGTCAGAAAGCGCTTAAGGAGAAGACCAGAACGGAGCTAGCCTGGCTTGAGCTCCAGAGAAAGAGGCTCAGAGACAAAGGCGAGGATGATAAAATGCCACCAATCAGGAAGAAGCAGAGGGGACTTTTGATTAAACTGCAGCAGGAGCAGGTACGCGGGGTCTAAACGGAATTACATCAACTGTCAGTTTAGCGCTGAGTTTCTGGATTGAGCAACATCTTGTAATCTACCAACAATCTCTCTCTCCGTTTCTTTCTTTCCCAGGCTGAGATCAAACGGCTCCAGGAAGCCAACAAAGCAGCAAGAAAAGAGAGGCAGTTGTTGCTGAAACAGCAAGAGGAGATTGAACGGATGAGAAACTCAACGCTCAGACTAAAGGAGAGACTCAAGTGTGCTGAGGGCCAAACTCCTCCTGTAAGTACCGCTTTCACCTTCTTATAAGAGAGATAAACAGATGCATTGTATTGTGGAACATTTTTAATTGTTGTTTCCTTCGTACATCTCTTAGGAGACTCCAGTGTTTGAGCCTCCGAGGTCTGAGCCAGCCGCTGCAAACCTGAGGCTTCCTGATGAGGTCCGCAGCCCCTCTCCCTCCCCCTCCATTTCTGGAAGCGAGACCAGCAGCATCATGCAGAAGCTGAAGAAAATGCGCTCTCACACGGATGAAAAGTAAAGACATGAAACCATTTTTCCATATGTTTCCATTTCATATATTTTTTGTGGATCGCAAACTTGACGCTTTTTCAGCCTTTACAGGATTTGAATATTTGAAATAACAACTCAGTTCAGGTGGCCTTAAAAACTGAAAATCGGTAGTAATCGTCTTAATCGTAAACGTTTAGTTCCACACCAGTGTTTTTCATAGCTTTTCCTGCATCTGTGTCTTCTGATTGTTAATGGCTGGTTTGGAGTTCTAGTCTTGGCTGGCAGCTTTGTCAGGTGATTGTAGAACCTCTTATGACCGGTCAGCTCGAACAAATGTGCTAACTGTTCTGGGCTTTAGGATTTAAAACTTGGATATAAATCACAGGTTAGTGTTTTTAAAGGGTGTATTCATCTTGATTTATACCAACTCGAGATTGTATGCCGGTGAATATTTAGATGATAATTTTGAGCAGAAAAAATAGATACTGACATCCCCTCCCACACACCTCAATTAGACGTTTGTGTTACTAAAGCCCCTTTTCTGTGGACTAGGATGCTATGTGGGGTTTGCACATTGTCGTAATCATGCCAGAGAGGGTAGGAGTGTAATGTGTCATCACTGAAATACAACTATGATGCCACAACTTTAGGAATCTGCACAGTGGTGTAGAACAGTGGGTCAAACCACTTAATTAACTCATTGCTAATATATCTACCCAATTTACATTTCTAAATGATCGTTATCAAGGTTGCCACAAATAGGTTCATATGTTTACAAAAGGAATTTGGGCTTTAACAAATGTATTATTCTGCATATATCCCTGATGGTGTGTGCGTAATCTTGCATGTGTTCCTTTCTTTTTCTCCCCTGCTTTTTCTCCCCTGCATTGATAATTGCTAACAGGACATGGTCATTCATTATCAGTAACACAGCAGCTCAATTTCAATTATTCAATGTAAACCTGGATATGTGTGGGTCAGTGAATTTACTCAATAAGGTACGGTTTCAGTTCAGTTCAGGAAATGTTCCAAGTCGCTCCGCTGCTTCTGTGAGAAACTGATGTTCAGTAATTGGCAAACAACTTCTGACTTAAGATGCTGTTTTGTAAGGAAATGGAGGCAGTCTACCGTTGATCGCAGGAACCCAAAAAGCTAAATCGATACACTCGCGTTACAATTTCACTAAATCATTTTTATTTTTGAAATAATGATGCTTTCCTAGCAGATGCCTACAGACTGCCCCATTGGGGGCAGTAAATCCACATCTTCTCATATCACTTTCTCCCTTTCTCTCTACTTTTGTTTTCCCTCTGCGTCTTGTGTTTTTTACCTCACTTGTAAATGTGTGTGTTTGTGTGTGTGTGTGTGTTTGTGTGTGTTACGTATGTCTGACTTTGTTGCGTGCTTGTGTGTTGTAGAAACTGTTCCCCTGTCCACTACTTCTTCTCTGTGTTCACGGCCCACCACTGGGCCTCCCTCAGTGTCTGTCTTCCCAACCTCCACCCTAAATTCCAGCTCTTTATCTACAACCAGTTGGTCAGGTACTGTACTGTGGTCTCTTCCTCTGCATCAAGCCCCGCTCGGCCTCATCTCCACCCCCACCTCGTGCCACTGTTCATCCACTGGCACTGGGCCCTCGTGGGGGTGGAACGGTGAATGAAGAATAATTGGATGTGTGTGTGTTATGGTTTTGTGGGATATTAAAGAGTTTCTTTTTTAAACATCCAAGGATGGAGTTGGCGTGAGAAAGATATTTAACTGAAAACTGTAAAGGTGCCCCGGGAAAGCTTCCTAGATAAGCATATCCTTTTACAGCTTAATCTTGAATTCATCATATTTATATTAATTTTCTTACATCCTTGCATTGCAGGGTAAACAGATCATTCAGTTTAACATCAGAACTCCGGCATTTGACAGTAAAAGAAACACAACACAAACAAAATTAGATGCAAAAATGTAGTTATAACCAAGGATTACGTTTATGTAATGGGAGCCTTCCTTCCTTTAAACTGGGATTCATTTTATAATCTCTTAATTAGCTACTCTCCCAGTCTTTATTTCCTCCAACCTGAAATTGTTTGTTAAAAATAGTTTTAAAATGACTTGACAGCTGATAGTTTTAACTTCTAATTAACTGACTTGTAACACTGTGGCTGATGGCTTGTCAATGTTGCGACATTAAACCACGCTTTGGCATGAAAGTAAAGGATTTTACAGAGAATTGTCCAAAGATAAAGTGGCCTATCTATTTAATGAGCCCAGTAAATCTTAACTTGCTCCCTTATTATGTAACTGTTGCATCGTCTTGTCTAATAAGTACAGATGGTCATTCGCTCTAATAGAGTTTGGGAAGGCACTAAAGAACCCCACAGCCTGCTTTGTAAGAATCAAAGCTGTCATCAGTATACATTAGGTCAAGAGGAAAGCCTCTAAATTAGATCAGGGCTAAATAATACTGCACTGTAATGGCGCCCATAGCTGTGGGAGATACCATTTCAAACAGCTATACCTGACTGCACTCTATGTTTATGGATAACTCCAGACATATGGATGTAGAAGTCATACTGTGAGATGGCCTGAAAATACCCAGTCTATTAGCTTTACTGGACAGCGTTCCCCTCAGTGGTTGAGAATAGCGGTAAGTGGAAGAGGCCCTTTGACCTCACTTACGGAGCAGATTTTCTCCACTCATTTATTTGACTAAATATCCTGTAACTGCTGAGTATATTTGCTGTGAGTGCGGGTTTGTGTGTGAGTAAGACGTTTGACAAACAACCCTTGGGATTGCATGTACCTGGCATCTACACTGTCACTTTTTTCTGCCCCCCCCCTTTCCCCATTGACAATCCATGACTATTTTGTTTGATGATCCACATTTGGATGGTTACTTGACGCATGTCTTGGATTTGTGTTTGCTTCTGTGTGTGTGTGTGTGTGTTGAACATAGAATTGAGGTGAGTTTGCATTAATAGCTGGATGGGTTGGTGATTTGGGTCAGCTTGCTTTTTGAAAGATTCCCTTTTTAACCCTTTCTTGTGCTTGGTTTCTGCTTTTTTCTCTCTGTCATCACCTCTCTCCTCTCTTCTTCTGCTCCTTATCCAACTCCTGATCCCCCCACCATGATCTCCATCTCTCTTTTGAAACTCTATATCCATCTTCTCTTCACCCTTCCTTTCTTTCCCCTTTGGTTGTCCCCATCCGCCTGTGCAGGTTCCTGACCAAGCGGGAGCAGCGGCTGATGCAGCGCCGGCACCATGCCGAGGAGCTGCTGCAGTGGAAGCAGCGCCTGGACCAGGAGGAGGCAGAGGTCCATCAAATGGAGAGGGAGGCCCTGGCTCTGTGGGACCAGAAGAAAAGCCTGGACAAGGAAGCTGAAATATCACTGGCTCAGGGACAGGAGATCTCAGAAATGAGCTCCCACCTCAGTCCCCAGCAGAGGTCTGAGCCCAGAACCGATTGCGAGAAAGGTGAGGCTACAGGATTTAGGCTTAATGTAAAAACAGAAATGCAGGTTAATATTACAACACTAAAAGACACATTTATAGGATTTAATTGAAAATAATAGTTTTTTTTCATGATTCACACAGGAAGATTTTTTAGGGAAGTGAATGACTAACTTGGCCTGAAAAACATTTTTGATTCTCACTTTACAAATAATGCAGCACACCAAACATAAAAGAACAACCTCCATTCTAGGGGAGCATCTTATTCCTCCTTTTCTCAGCATTAAAACCTTCTCTCTGCTCCATTAAGGAGAGTGGTGCTAATAACACAGCTAAGTGGTTGAGCCTCATAGCAGAACTGCAGCTCTCTTTTCCCACATTGTCATCAGGGGAGAAAAGAGGGAGCAGGATGAGCACAATTATATGGAAATTCAAAGTAACTTTTTGGTGACTACAACATCACTGCTCTATGGAGAAAGCTGACCTAATGTCACTGTGTTTCATTTCCAGAGATTGTGAGTGAATGCGACTTTTCCTCGGAGACCCCTGACTCCAGTGTGCACACAGAGGGATCCGGATCTCAGCAGCAGGGAAGTCCCACCTCAGCACAGCCTGCTTCAGTTCCTTTGACCTCAGTCCACACCAGTCCTGCTAATTACACCCAGGACTTTACCTCATTGTCACAGCCAGCAAGCAGAAGGGTATGCAAACATCTTGGTTATAACCCTTTTTTTATTTCCGCTGTAACTTATGTGTCATTGTTGTTCATTTGCTTTATATTTGCTTAGTAACAGCCCTGGGTGATTTTAAGCAGTAGCTGTATATCCTTGCTTTTAAAATATTAATGTATGCTGTCCTCGGATCAGTCTCTTTGACCATAATGTGATCCTCTAAAGTAATAATTCTCTCTCCTCCCTTTCTTCCTCCTCCTCCTGTTCGGTCTCTCAGTCGTCTCTCCTCAAAGGCAGCTCCATCTCTGCTGCTTCTCCTTCAGACGCCAGCAGTAAAACCAAGATGCAGCTCCGCTCCACATCCCAAACACCCACTGAGGTCTCTGGTCAGCCTCCTGATCCTCGCATGGCCACGCAAGCTGGTGAGTTACCCATGTGAAAAACACACAGCATGATAAAGATTCAGCAAAGAGTGGCCATAACACGACTGTATTTCTGTCACAAGATGTTAATACAGACCAGCAATATAACTGTAACTGTTTATTCATTTTTAAACCACTTTATAAACTCCTAAGCTTTGTACTTCTCTTTGTTCATTGTATTTGTGAAGATTAACTTTACTCTCTTGTGGTAAAGGAAATGTAGAGTAATCCCCAAAGAAATGTGTTTGAGTCGAGTAAAAGTGGGATTTCCTTTCGCTAATCATAGTTCTGGCTCTGGTTTTACATTCTAGTTCTGCTTTCTCTTAACAAATTTTCCTCCAGAAACCACCTCAGACCAGAGTGACATAGAGAATCGTATCAGGACCCTGAAGGAAGAGCTCAGAAAACGGAAGTTTATGGCTTACCAGCTGAAGAAAGAGCAGAAAAAGCGTCACAAGGAGCGTCTTAAGGCACAGGAGGCGAGCCTTTTGAAACAACTGGAGGTAACTTATTTCTACACAGAATTAAATGAAATATTCAAATTACACTAGAACTGAAAAATAACAGGCCTTGTTTTCTCTTGTTCTGTATGAACACATTCTCCTAATTAAAAGTGTTTCTAAATGACAGCTTTCTATTTAACCTGTCTCCTGTTGGCTTTTCAGAACTATAATAACTTCATTGAGAAAACTAAGGCCGAACTGAACAAGGAGCCAGTATCAACGTCTGATATCAACTCACAGAGCAAAGATTGCAGCTCTGTTTTAGAGCAGTCATCTACTAAACCGTCTCCACAAAGGTACAGAATGCAGCGATATACGAACATGCACAATAAAGTTAGAAATCCACAGAGGTCCCTTCAAACCAAATCTCTCCTTTACAGGACCGAAGCCAGCTTAAACCCGCCCTCTGAAAAGACTCTTATCGGTGCATCATTACATCACAGTGAGTGCTTATAGCCTTTATTTGAAATATTTTGTCCCAGAAATGCTCTGATCTTAAAGCGAGTCTTTTTCTTTGGCAGAAGCCTCTGCTCGGGAAGAGGAGAGCGGGTCTACTTCTGCGCCTAAAGACTTGTCTGATGAGGAGCCTCCGACTCCAGTTGAGGATGTGTATGGTGAAACAAAGAGTGGCACCCCAGGACAGAGGAGCCATCAGTCATCAGAGAGCCGTTTAAGGCCCTCAACCAGAGCAGAGTCTGGAGATGAGAGGGTTTTAACCGAGAATAGATCTGATATTCAGGAAGAGCTGGAGTTGGAAGTTAGCTCCAAGTTTGAGGAGGAGCACTCTCAGCATCTATTCCAACTTGAGAAAGAGGCCCCTGAGCCCCAGCAGAGGTTGTTAACACCTGATGGAGATCGTCAGCATTCTCCCTCTTTTTGCCATGAGCAGGATAAACGGGTGAATCGCAGCGAGATATCGGAAGCGAGGGAAAACGCGTCACCTGATGCCACTTCTGGTCAACACGCCTCCCCGGCAATGGATCTGGAACTTTCACCACACGCAAGCTACTCTCCAGCCAGCAACTCCCCCGACTCAGTGGCCCTCTCCTCAAATAACGAAGCTCCTCCACGCGATGTCGAGGTCTCTCCCACAGCAGATGCTTATCACGATGACTTTGAGTCAACAGGGTCCTCGCCCAGACAAGAGTATCATTATTCTAAGCCAGAGTCACAGATCTCAGGTTCCCCCACTGAAACGAAGGCTTTGAGAAAGGACTCCTACAGCAAATCCCTCACACATGACAGCCAAGACGAAGCAGCAGAGGAGGAAATAGCGGAGGAGCTGAGTCATCATTCTGATGGGAGTGAGCGTAGCCACCAGTCTGGAAGTCTACTACTCGATCTCAATCAGCCGAAGGAAGATTTCAAACACGAGAACAGCAGCAATTCCAGCCGAGCGTCCCCCGTCTCCCCCCCGCAGAGCGGCTCCCCCTCCCCCGTCGCTGATGAAATGCCCAGTTTTAGCGTCGGAGATCGGGTTCTGGTTGGCAGCGTCCAGCCAGGAACCCTCAGGTTTAAGGGGCCCACCAGTTTCGCCAACGGCTTCTGGGCAGGCGTGGAGCTGGACAAGTCTGAGGGCAGCAACAACGGCACCTACGATGGAGTGGTGTACTTCGAGTGTGAGAAGCGCCACGGTATCTTTGCACCTCCAGATAAAATCACACACCTCCCAGAAAAGTTTGAGCTCTATACAGACACCACCGAGGACGAGGACTCGTTCCTTGATGATCAGCCCGATAAAAATGGAAATAAACAAAAGCGAAGTCAAGTTGATTCCCAAAAACAAGGAAATCTAGAAAATGAAAATGAACACATTCCTCGTGAAGACACTAAGTCTGGAGAGAAAAAGCTTATGGATGAGGAGAACGAGGCTCAGCTGGTGAACAGATCCTACCTCAATTCACAGCATCACAAAGAATCCCCACATCCAGTTCCCAATGGGAACGCTGGGGACATCATTTTGGATTTTAGAGACGCATCACAAACTTTCATCATCTCCGATAAGCAGACTCAGAAGGAGACTGCTCCCCTCATTAAGAGCGAGGAGGAGGCAGATTCTGAGCAGCACTTTTCTGCTGGTGATCTCAGCATAGCAATCGATAATGATGAGGGAGAACAGAAGGGCAGAGATGTGCTTGACACAGTCGCGGAAAAGCTTCTCAACAACTTCGTGAAGGACACCGTGAAGCAGTTCGCTGAAATAAAAAAGGCTAAAGAGCAGAAGATCCGAGCGGCCAACCAGATGAACGAGAGCTCGTTGGGCTCGAAAGATGACGAGGAGTGGATGGTTTCAGTTGAACAGAAAGACGGTCTACCCTTCTTTCTACCTGTTGAGAAAGAGGAGCTGTCCTCTCCAGAACTGTTTAACCGACCTGTGAGTGTTTTCTGTTTTACAGTCACATACCTTCACCTAAATGTTTTGCCTCCCGTCTGTTTGCTCTAACCGCCTGTCATCAGTAGCTAGTCATGACTTGTTCAGAAATGATTGGCTGAGCTGACTTGGGTTTGTTAGGCAGTGATAGTATTGAGCACATACAAACAGAACATGTTTATTTGACCAGGAGGCGTTCAGCCAAAGTCCGACCTTATGTTGACAGACTATTGAATTTTGTGGTCTTTGCTGAGAGAGTTTCCCTCTTAAAAAAACACTAAGAAACTTTTAAGGCTCCAGTGCAAAAGTGATATTCATATAATGGGCTGTTTCTTTTTTCTTTAACAACAGGAGAGTCCAGTGTTTGGAGCCAGTGGGCAGGAGGAGCTGGCCAAGCGCCTGGCTGAGCTGGAGCTGAGCCGCGAGCTGTTTGATGAGATAGCTGATGATCAGGACTGGTTTGATGAGGACTATGGCCTCAGCTCGCGTAGAGAGCAGCAGAGGCTGAAACTGAAAGAGGAAAGGGGAAAGCTGGGTGGGGAGTCTGCCACCCCCCCGATGGGAGGCATGGGTTCCTCATTAGCTGGGGAGCCTCAGGTGAAAACCCCCCCGAGGCCCGAGCTGCCCCTGCCCCTTCCTCCAAAACTGCCTGAGCAGCCTGCCATGGTTGTGCCCCACTCAGCCACTGAGGTGGAAAAAATGGTCCATGCTGCCACAAAAGAGATCTGGGAGACTTTCCACCTGGGCAGAGAGGGAGCTCTGACCCGTGCACCCCCGTCCAACCCCAGACCCTCAGTAGAGTTTCTTGGCAAAGATCCAAGCAGCCGGGACCTGGAGGCCCTCTCTATCCGCAGCTACAAAAAGGTAAAAAAAAGAAAAGGTGAAAAGAAGAGTTCCGAGATACCGTCAGAGCGATCGAGCTAAACCTGCAGGCCACACAGATTTCCTACAGTTTAGGGTGTTTTTGTTTGCACCTAAAAAACACAAGAGCTGGAAATCCATCAGACTAACAGGGTGACTGAGACAGAAAGCAAGATTTAAAGCAGTGGGAATAATCAGGCAGACTTTCAGCTACCAGGTTATTTAACGTTTGTTTTTGTTTCCTGTAGTTGGACTTGAGGATGGTAAGCACAGAGCATTCAGTGGTGCCTTCCCACTGCTCTCTTTCATAAGCTGAATCCCAGGTCAAAGCAGAGTTCAGGGCACATATTTTAGGCTTTAGGACCAAAATTGGGCTAAGTGAGCAATTTTTGTCCTACCTTTCATTCTCAGTCTTTATAACTGCTGTTTTAGAAATAAAAAAAATATCCAGGAGAAATAAGCCTTTAAGAAATTGTGAAATGCATGTTTTTTGTTTTTTGCATCTAGCAAGCTCAGAAACCTGCAAAAGCCTCCTGTGATAAAAAGGCAGCTACAGTTTTTAAAAATACAAATGAATAGTGATTTTACCCCTTAGATTAGAGGCCATGAAGCCACTCTTTAGTCATGACATTGTTGGGTAGGAACCAACCTTTACAATGTATTGCCACACATGTGTTTAGTTTCTCAGAGTATTTGAGTAAAGAAAGTACTTACCAGAGAAACCTTTCATTTTAAAGCCTGGTTTTATAGTTGTACTTTGTGGTTTTCTTTCTGTAGGCCGTGTACGACCTGACATGGGAGATACTTCAGGATATCTACGCTGAGGAGCCCAACGCAGACCAACCTCAGTGGGTCAAAGCACACCGAGTCAAATCCTCCTCAGTCCACAGAGTCAAAACCTCCGGAGACATCAACAAAATTCAGGTAGACATCCACTGATTTTAGCTTTTAGACCTTTTTGTCTGGCGTTTTCCTCGACTGCTTACAGAGTTTGTGATTTCTTTAGTAAGAAATGACATTATAAAGTCTCCTGTTGGAATATTTTCATACAGAATTGTGCTAAATGTGTTTTTCGGATACATCTTATATGTAGGTTCGCTAATTCCACAACTGTACCAGTGTATTTGAGGTCAGCTCTATATGTAGCTATAGGGCTAATGTTAAGATCACAGTGAGCTGAACACATCAGTCTCCAGTGCCTTTGTCAGTTTCCTCCCTTGTCAGCTTTTCAAAAGTTCTTTCCCATCACACAAATTCATTGTCAGTCTCTCTCTCTCCTTGTGTTGTTGGACAGGAATTTGTCACGGCTGAAGTGCTAAAACTGTACGGCCTGAAACAAGACCAGAGCCAGAAGACCGATTGGCAGAAGATGCTGAAATTTGGCCGAAAGAAGCGGGACAGAGTGGATCACATACTGGTACGCCTCAGGTTATTTGTTACCTGTATCATTTTAGATGTGGAAATAAACACGATCCAGATTATTACTTGCTGAGAAAGGAAAAAGGAGGCCACTTTGTTTCGTGGCTGAGCCTGTTTGTCTCTCAGGTCCAGGAGCTCCACGAGGAGGAGGCCCAGTGGGTGAACTACGACGAGGACGAGCTGTTTGTGAAGATGCAGCTGGCCGACAGCATCTTCGACGCGCTGCTTAAAGACACTGCCAGCGCGTTCACACTAATATCTGAGAAGAGGGCCGGCAGAGACCCGGCCTCCTGACGTCTGCCGTCTGCAGCAGACGCCCCCCCACAGCCAGCACCAGCCCACGTGCCAACAGCAACCCTCAGAGGCCTTCAGTCCCCCCGCTGACCGTCCGCCCAGCCACTGGCGGCCATGTCTGTGAAGTTATTAGCTCCATCTGCACACCCATGATTCGTGTGACACACAGAACACCTCTTAAGCAATCCAGCCTTCCTGAACCCGACCCCCATCCATCCTCAGTCCTCCCCTCCAGGACGGGCTGTTAGAGAAGGAGTGGATGTGCTGGTGGGACCAGCTGGGCCATCTCTGAGCACGGGGAGGTCCACCATGCTGCTACGCCTGTTGTTCCATCCAAGACTTTGACTTTACACCCCGTTGGAACAGCAGGAAAATGTTCAGTTTTGTAATGAAATGTGCGTAGATTAACAAAGACAAAAAAGTAGATGCAAGAACATACAGTGCAGCCTGTGTGTTTGCCTTAAATGGGAAGAGTTTAAATTTAGGCAAAGATTACTCTTGAATCAATTGTTTCAAATAGCCCTTAGAGAGTATTTAGCAATTAATGCTACCAGATACTTTTCCTTTTGGCTTTGAACCATTAATTGGCTCTAAATTGTGGGAAATATCTGAAGCTTTCGTCAAACCCCCGTGTGTCACAGATGTAGCCGGGCTGCATTGTATCGGAACATCACTGTGCTCAGATTCCTCACAAACCTCTGCTTCCTTTATTTATTCTGCTAAAGCCTTCGATTCAAGCAGGGGGAAGCAGCAACTCATCAGCAAATGGAGAAGACGTCATTTTGACGTCGTGTAAAGAAATATCTAATGTTATTGTAAAAGCACAATAGAAAAGTAAATGTGAATATGGCAATACGGTATGCTGGAGAAGGCAGCAGAATTGAATGTGGAGGGTAAAGTTGTGCCGTGAGGGCTGAACCGCACAGCTGGTGAACAGCTGCTCACTCTGTGTCTACGTGTTTTGAAACCGTCTCTTATCGTCTGTCCACAGGCTGAAAACATCTCAGCCTCCACAAATAAGGGCCCATCCAAAGACTCGTGCACCATTACAGTCAACTTTCATGTCTGTAGAGCCGGTTAACAGCCTTGTACTTTACCCCCTCCAGCAGCTTTTTTGGTTTAGCTACACTAAGTGACCGTCAGAGTCCAGACCGACAGACTTACTGCCCGTTTGGACTGAGGCTGTCTTTTCCCACGTTCCATTCAAGTGCCTCTTTAAGTTAACTGAGCTTTCTAACTTGATTTTCTTGATGTTTCAGCATCCTTTGGACCTCTCTTTCTCATTTCTTGCATCCTAGCATTTCGTAAAAGACTCTCCGAATGACTGTGCTTCCTCCCGACCGACGCCCCCACCCCTTAAGTTTCTGCCTTATCTCTGTCTGTATGAAACCTGGTCCTGTAGAGGAGGCTGTTGGGACGAGCAGAGGATTGTATCCCGGGGCTCACTGGGTCCCTACGGCAGAACTCTGATCCCTGCTGACTGGAGCTCAAGTGGCCTTGAACTGTAAACCTTTTTCTGTTGTTTTTTTACTGTCAGGGCTCTGTGGTGTAGGCTCACAGTGTCAGGGTGTAAAGTAGAGGAAGACCAAACCGGTTTGATACCAGTCCTCCTGCTGCCTGACTCGTCTGGAACAGTAGTAGTGGCACGGTTAGTACCTTACAGAGCTAAGCAAAGCTTTCCTGCAAAGCCTCTGGCGTTTCCCTTTTCAATCGATTGTATGTGGGACCACCTCGTGTTCCCCTCTGTAACTATGCAGTACCAGATCATTTTCATTGTTTTTAGTGGATGGACCAAACAGCTCTGACCTCTGCTGTAGTCTGTAAATAAAGCCAATGTTCTAGAAGCTTCCAGCTGTTTGGATGTGGTGCGGAGGCTCCGATCCACCGGTCTAAAGTCAGCGTTTGTTATTGGGAGCTGGAGCAGGCCTTACTTTAAACCAGATATTTAGGATTGATCAGGACAAAATAGGTTTGTTTTTTCAAATTGGCACAAAATATTTATCAGAGGAACTCTGTCAGGCTAGATTACCCTCCTCTCCTTTTGAAATGTTTATGAATATTTATAATAATGTTCTGCAAGTGTGTGTTAAGGACACTTGGAAGACCTGTACAATTCTTTTTTTGGGTGTAAATATACTCTCTCTCCAATTAGACGCACTGCTGCTGTCACCTGAGTGGTTGTCCAGATAAGCAGTGTTTACTTTGCAAATATGTACATAGTATATATTTGTTAACTAAATGAAATTGACTGTGTAAATAAAGCTTTCATTGTTTGTAAAAATGAGCTGTTGGTGCCTTCTGTGCTGAGCTGCTGCAGTGGGATGGACTCAGAAGTCCGTGTGCTGGACACGGCTCGGGCTGTGGTGTGCTGGCCGGTTTGGGGGAAATGGCAGACGAGGTGTTTTCAGTCTGGGTTGGAGTGCTGCATCCTCAATTTCAGGCACAGGACGTCTCACGGGTCCAAATGTCCGAGTGTCAGCGGCTGGCCTCAGTCTGTCTCACTGTTCAGTCACCATAGGAGGATCTGCCCCACCTCCAGAGGATCTGCCCCCACCTCCAGAGGATCTACCCCCACCTCCAGAGGATCTGCTCCACCTCCAGAGGATCTGCTCCACCTCCAGAGGATCTGCTCCACCTCCAGAGGATCTACCCCCACCTCCAGAGGATCTGCCCCCACCTCCACAGGATTTCATGCAGCCCTGGTTCAGCTGGAGTCTTTAGGTTTGTTCAGTAGCAGCACAGTGTTTTTTTCTTGTGTGCTATCCTTCAGTGAGAGTTTGTTACTAGCTGTTAGAGCTGCAGGAAGGCTTTCTTTTTCTTTTTTTTTTGGGGGGGTGGGGTTTATAATTTGACTCATATTCCAACGCACGGAAATACGTGACAGCTTTTCAAAGTAAAAAGTGAGTTTGCATGTCCAGATAAGCTCTGGCTGATGTTGTAAAGCTGCTTCCTGTGTGGAAACTCCCGCAGAGGAACGCGTCACTGCACCGCCATCATTCCAGAACTCCCAACGCTGAGTACAAACTCTCCACCGGGACCAATCAGCGGCGGCCCGGGGGGGGGGGGCTGTGGAGGCCGTGCCGGCGGGGGGAGGACCCGCGGAAAAGGGGCCGGCGGCCGGAGGGAGCGGGGCCAGCCCGGCGGAGGGAGCGGAGGCTGCAGCGGAAGATGGCGCGTCGCGGCGGCCGTGCCACGTCCCGGTGGAGCGCGGTGCTTTCCCTGTGCGCGTGCCTGCTGGCCGCGCGGCCGGCCCGGGCCGGACTCTACACGGCGTCCGACCAGATCGTGCTGCTGACCCCGGACAACGTGGACGGGTTCCTGGTGAACTCCTCCGCGGCCATGCTGGTGGAGTTCTACGCGTCGTGGTGCGGACACTGCATCTCCTTCTCCCCGGTCTACAAACGCCTCAGCACGGACCTCAAAGGTGGGTACGGACCCCTGAGCACCTACCAGCAGCTGTTTGCACGGACTATAAGTCCGGAAGACAGCCGCCAGCCTGACTAACAGAAGCTGTGTTTCCTATCTGAGCACTTCTGCAAACTCTGAGCCGCTAAAGGAAAGTTGTTTTTAAGACAAGTGCTCTTTGTGAGTGATCACTTTGGTGTTTTATTGCGCGTAAATGGGCTGAAAGTGGCTTTGAGATGTAGCACTCCCACCTGAGGCTTTCTGGAATCCTTACTGCCCAGCAGGCTGTCAGCTGCTGGACCTCCTGGGAGCTCAGTTTGATTCTTTTTCTCTGACTTTTGGACACTCAGCTGCTGACACTGAGTCAGTTAACTGTCAGAGTTGGATCATACTTTTTCAGATGAGAACGCACTTCCAGCTCTGACCCATCAGTTTGGCTTTTGCTGAACAGTGCTTGTTTTCTTCATCTGAAAAAAGCCGCTGTCTGCTAGTTTAAGGCCGCCTCACAGACAGAACAAATGTAGAATAAATTCACCGTCTGCTGGCTCTCTGTTAATCAGAGCATGTGATCTAATGAAGTGGCCTGGACTTTGTGGCTGGCCAGTGTTCTGTTGCTCAGTCTCACAGAAATTTCACAGGCCGATGAGAGTGGATATAATTAGGATGTTAGTCAGGGGCCAAGACTTGAGTTATGTGTGTCACATCCACTCCACTCTGACAAGAGTTCCAGAAAAGGAGGACGGATACTTTCACAGATGCATGGAGATCATAAAAACACATCAGCAGTAGCTCCACATCGGCCTCCAGGCCATGCTAACGTGTTTGCTGCTTCAGAATACCCAATTACATGTAAAATGGGGAATTCTTCTGAACCAAAACTTTGTTTTTGAGGGCCAATGGGCAGAAGCGAGTTCCCCTAATCGCCTCTGAGCTAATCTGGTTCACCTATTTGTTGACACACGAGGCAAAAGGGCAGCGCGGGATGGCCTGAAGCTGCCCCCGGGTACAGAACACTAAATATTTGCTCACTCCCCTCTGCTGTGGTGCCCAGAGTGGAAGCCCGCTGTGAACCTGGCCGCCATAGACTGTGCTGCCGAGGAGAACAGGAAGGTCTGCACCCACCACGGCATCAAGGGCTACCCCACCATAAAGGTACTGTCTGGTCTCCTCCTGGTCTTCTGTGTTTTCCTGGTATGGGAGCAGCTTGATAAGTTCACTTCTGCTTTTGGTTTTTAAATAAATACCACGCATTTAAAACCAATCAAAGCCTGACAGATGCTGTGACCCCCTGAGTCTCACCTGAAATAAGCCCCATCCAACTAAAACTAAAACTAAAAGTAGCCCGGCTGTCTGTGGAAGTGGATGCAAAAAACTTCAGACACACCGTAGAAAGATGTTAAATCACAGCTGGAAACCTCTGATGACCACTGACACGAGATAATTAGTGATATATATGTAAAACATTGATTACTAAAGTGGAGAATTACTTTAAAGAGATTGGATCACAGTCCACAAGTTGGTGTTATTCTTTTTCAAATGACTTTAAATGGTCAAAAATACAAAAAGATTAGAGATATTACAGAAAGAAAGAGAAAATCCATCCCTCCATGTTCTATAGCACCTACTCACTGGCCCAACATGCATGTTTTGGCCTGGGGGGGGCAGCCGCTGTCCCTGGAGGGAACCCCCATGTGTGGGGGGGGAACAAAACAGAAAACAGCAGATTTACAAAATAATATTAGCAACTGAAGAAAAAAACAGGTAAATCCCAAAAACTAGAATAGTACACAAATGTTTGATTCAAATAGAGAGATGTAAAACATTTTTAAAGAAGGGTAAAAAAGTTTATAGGAGATAGAAAAAAGTTTAATGACAGTAAGAGAAATGTCAGGAAAAGCTGTAGTCAGTAGAAATATGTAAAAAGGAGTGACAGAGGTGAGTCTTCCTCAGGGAGGCGGTCTTGGTGGCCCTGCTGGGTCCAGGCTCTCTGAGCTCAGGGCCTAAATCAGATTTAGCTGCTAAGCCACACCAAGTCTCCAAAAACACCAAGAAATAGATGTTTGCTTTCTGTTTGAAAGGCTTGATTTCAGACGTCAATTCTTCCTGAATTCATTTGGATCCTTGATGTTTTATAACGATATATTCTTTTAGGAGTGGGAGGATAATTCAAAGTTCACTGAAGAGAAAAAAACAATGATTCAGAATCAGAATCAGAATCAGAAATACTTTAATAATCCCAGAGGGAAATTATTTATGTTACAGGCTCCATAAGCAAAACAAAGGCATATACATATGTACATGTCTATACATATATACATATATACATATATATATACAAAATTCCTCATAAATATAGCTAGATTCATATCCATGTTAGCATTGATAATAAACCTCCTTTCCTCAGCTGTAAGACTTTTGCTCTGGTCATAAAATGAGGAATCCTCTGTTTTTCCAGCCCATCCAGACAATTTATGTAACTGTTACCATACGTGAGCACATTTATTGTTTAGTTCTAATGTCTTTTTGCAGTAGTGATGTAACAGCTTGTATAGGAATGATTTCCAGTGGGAAGTGTGGTTTCTATAGCAGGAAAAGGCCCTTACAGCTCAGGTTGGACAGGGGCCTAAGGGGAGGACACAAACTCTCTCCCCTCAAACATCTGCATTCGTATTCGAGGCGTATTTGATTAGTCAGCAGCCCTGTGTGTTAAAGCCTCTGTCCTCAGCCCCCCGGTAAAAGCCCCCAAACAAAGAGCTCCTTCTGTTTGAACGCGCAGCGGAGCTCCAACATCTGCGGCTCATTTTAAACGGGAGGGATTTGGAGGTCCTGGCCCCTCCCCGCTTTAAACACCACACAACCTGATCTCACCTCCCTGTTATCCTCTCCAACCGCTAACTTAATTCTTTTTTCACTTCCCAGTTCTTCCATGCCTACTCCAAACCGGATTCTCCAGGAGTGTCTTTTAAAGGTACCGTACTGTGTGAAAGTCATTTGAGGAGCACTTATATTTTTAACGTCTTGTGATTGAAGCGATTATCATATTTGATTCATCCAGTTTCTGAAGTCTTTTGGATGTGAGACTTTCTGCATCATTCAGTGGTAAAAGCTTTTCTCAAACCCCTGTTGTACACATTCAGATATACCTGATAACAGCCAGTAGAAGACCACACCAACATAGATTTCTGACTTATTGCACGCTAATTTGATCAAAATAATTTCAGTTTTTTTTCTTCATATGTTGTTGAGGGGCCAAAGAAAGACTTCAGACTAAAAAAAAATCCAATATTCTTCCTATTTTTCTTGGATCAGGCTCTAAAGGGTTAAGCTTTTGTCCTTTTAGAAGCAATTTAATCATTATTATCATTTGCTGGAAACAGTTATTAAAGGGGATTGTATCATCTATGCAGGATTTATTTAACCCAGAAGGAGCAGTTAGCGTTATAGTTGTGTGTTCATGCGTGGAGAGTTGTGACCACACATTTGAGCCTCGTGCACGTTTCCCTACAGCGTTCCCCCGGGACGTCCCCCGTCTCCGGCGCAGGATCATAGACAGTCTGGAGGCCCACGGCGAGCCCTGGCCGCCGGCCTGCCCCCCCCTGGAGCCCGCCAGGTACCCCCCCCCCGCACAAAGAGCCAACAGGAGCACCGACACGTGCACAATGTGTCAGTGATTCAGCAACGCAAAGCTGGACTTTTTCTGTTCTCACATTTAAAGGGGAAATACAAAAGCTCTCTAATTTGACTTCTAATCAGCAAGTCTGGCTCGAAGCCTAAGCTGCGTTTAAAAAAAAAAAAATAATAATTTGCTTATGCTTGAAAACATTTTAAGTTCTTAATTTTTGCAGATGTAGGTGAAACTTGACAACTATGACTCAGATCTAAAGTTCTCATGTGAGGAAACAGAAAGCCTTATTATATGAGAAACAGAGCCTTTTTATACTGACAACAAACAGGCAGAAGAATCAGAAATTTTTTGTTTTATGGACATTTTTTTGTAGTTTATTCAAGTTATCAGTGTAGCATCCTGTCAAGAGTTACTTGCGATGCTTGGAGCTTCTTCCTAACGATTTGTCCACATTTCTCTCCAGTCAAGCAGAGATTGACATCTTCTTTGAGACCAACAATGTCCAACACCTGGCGCTGATCTTTGAAGATGACAAATCCTACCTCGGTCGAGAGGTAAAGGCCCTTTCTAAATCACAAAAACCATCTTTTTCCCTGATGACAGACATAGATAGTATTTTGTGATATATCTATCTTTTATATATGTCATGAACCTGTCAGTGTGAGGAAATGTGAAATGGAGATGTTGTCCTCTTCGTGTGTTTAACGGAGCGTGTTGTATTTTTCAGGTAACTCTGGACCTGTTACAGTTTGAGAACATTGCAGTGAGGAGGGTCCTGAACACGGAGGGGGGTCTGGTGAGCAGGCTGGGGGTGACAGAGTTCCCCTCCTGCTACCTCAGTTACCCCGGAGGCAACTTCACCAGACTCAGAGTGTGAGTGCCACCCTTCTGTCTGTGCCTCATTCTTTACTACAAAAACTCCTTTAATAACTCCAGTAATTAGAATAGGTCCTGTTGTGTGTTTTGCCTAAAAGCTGGATGGACCTCTGACTGAACTGATGTAAAGATGTGTGGACATCTTCTTGGTGAACAAATCTTAAGAATGATTTACGAGCTGAGAGCGCCACTGTTTGTAGCTCTTCAGGATCAACAGGGGGGGGGGGC